TTTATTAAAGAGGCCATCCTTAATGGACTGGCCGACGCCAACATCTTAAGGGATAGCCAGCACGGGTTTGTTGCAGGTAGGTCTTGCTTGACCAATCTCATTTCCTTCTACGACCAGGTGACCTATCACCTGGACAAGGGAGAAGAGATTGATGTCATATATCTTGACTTCAAAAAAGCCTTCGATCTGGTGTCCCATGATCGCCTCTTGGAGAAACTGGCCAATTGTCGCCTTGGGTCCTCCACGATCCGCTGGCTGGAAAATTGGCTCCGGGGTCGGACCCAGAGGGTAGTAATCGATGGAAGTCACTCATCGTGGTGTCCTGTGACCAGTGGGGTCCCCCAAGGCTCTGTCCTTGGACCCATACTGTTCAACATCTTCATTAATGATGTGGACACTGGAGTCAGAAGCGATCAGAACTGGCCAAGTTCGCCGATGACACCAACCTCTGGGGCAAAGCATCCACACCAGAAGACAGGCAGGTTATCCAGGGTTATTTTGCCCCAAGTGGCACAATTTGCTCCACAACAAAGTGCATGTCCAAGCATGTGCTCTGAGGCAAAAAGCCCCGGCTCAAATTTGCACTGCTTCTATTTGAGCTGCTGCAGGCACAAGTGCTTGCATGTGTGCATGCGCCCACCCACATTAACCTGCCACATGTAGCATGGGCATTCCCCGGGGACAAGTAGCAACAACACAAGGTGTGCCCTTGTTACTTGTCCGTGGGAAAAAAAATGTCTTCACTCATCTGGCTTGCATCCATAGATGCTTCTCAAGCAAATCCCGGGACGTCATTCTCCCCCTGTACTCGGCCTTAGTGAGGCCGCAGCTGGAGTACTGTGTCCAGTTTTGGGCTCCACAATTCAAAAAGGATGTGGAGAAGCTTGAGAGAGTCCAGAGAAGAGCCACGCGCATGATCAGAGGTCAGGGAAGCAGACCCTACGATGACAGGCTGAGAGCCCTGGGGCTCTTTAGCCTGGAAAAGCGCAGGCTCAGGGGGGATCTGATGGCCACCTACAAGTTTATCAGGGGTGACCACCAGCATCTGGGGGAACGTTTGTTCACCAGAGCGCCCCAAGGGATGACGAGGTCGAATGGTCACAAACTACTTCAAGATCGTTTCAGGCTGGACATAAGGAAGAATGTCTTTACTGTCCGAGCCCCCAAGGTCTGGAACAGCCTGCCACCGGAGGTGGTTCAAGCGCCTTCATTGAACACCTTCAAGATGAAACTGGATGCTTATCTTGCTGGGATCCTATGACCCCAGCTGACTTCCTGCCCTTTGGGCGGGGGGCTGGACTCGATGATCTTCCAAGGTCCCTTCCAGCCCTGATGTCTATGAAATCTATTAAATCTATGGTCAAAAAATATATTCACCTCGACAGAAAATTGCTCTGTTTGCAATCCAGGCAATTAAACTAAACCTCAAGTGTCTTTGCAACAAGTTGCCAGCATCCTTCCACCCAGCCCCAGCTTTGTAATGAAGTTGTGGCTCCCAGCACTGTCAGTGCTAGAGGAGAAATGTACTCCCTCAATGTAGCACCAACTCCATTTGCAACTGAAGTGGTTGAAATCAGAAGTGTTGAAGACACTGGCAGGGGCAGGTACTGAGAGGCCCTGGCTGCAGCATGGCTCACTTCACATGGCTGGGCTGAGGTGGGGGGAGGGATGGTGGCCCTTGTGCCTGGCCTGTTGTGGTAGGCATTGTTCTGGAGATAGATATGAGAATGTTTCAGCCTCTAAGAGAGCCCTAGATATCAAAGCAGTCAAGTCCCCTCCCCCCCTTCCGTGCCCTGAACATGCTGCACTTAGCACCAGATGGCTGCTGAGGTGCTGTTAGGGCCCCAGTTGACAAGCTGACAAATGCAGTGCGGCACTAAGTGAGAACAGCCCTCACCTCCCTGCCCTCCTGCCTGCGGATCTGTGCCATGCCCCTTCTACATGGGATTGCAGGGTGACTATCCCCAGAGCTGCATCTGGGCCAAGGCTGAGGAGACAGCAGCAGTTAACTCCAAAGCACCAGGCTGGCAAGCTGCAGCTGTGTCTATACAGCAGCCAGGGAGGGAGGTCACTGGGGCCTGCCCTAGCTCAGACCTCACTGTGGTGGGGCACCTAAGCAGCAGAGATGCAACAACACAGACTCAGGTTAGGGCAGCAACCTGTGCACATCCCCAGCATTGCCCCCACCCAGGCTTATTGCTCCCCAGTTTATTGCTCCTGGGAAGCTCCCAGGCACATGGTTTACATGTATGCCCAGATCACAGCACATTGAACTGGGTCACAGCAGTCTCAGCTGGCAGGGGGTGCAGGGGGTCAGCCTGCCGGCCCAGGGCTGCTCCAGCTCAGCTCAATGTGCTGCGGAGGGGCTGGCTGGGGCATGAGGGTACTTCCACGTGGGTGGGGCTAGCTGGCAGGCAGTCTCTGCACTGAAGCATGCTCATGCCCCAGCCAGCCCTGTTAGCATCTACATATGCGTTGCTGAGCATGAAAAAACGCCGCAGCAGTCCAAGTCCTACCCTGCTATGGAGTTTCATTTCCTGTGCCCTAAATAGGGGTGCACATGTAAGCACCGAGATGCTTACTGTGCAGTAATAAATCAACTGCACAGTGACATTTCATGTAACCCCCCCACCTAAGGGGGTTTAAAACAGCTCCCAAAACTAAAGAGCAAAGAAATCTCCAACCAGCCAAAGGGGCCACAGAGCCTCCCAGCCTAGTGCAGCAGCACCCCCCAGTGCCAGAGCTGCGCCCTGCAGGCTCCTCCCTTGCTGTGTCCAGGGATATGAACAGCAAGCCACTGCCAGGCTGTGCCCAGGCTCTGGGCCCCAGGGAGGGCAGGCACAACCACCCTGTGGAGACAGACAGAGGGACTTACCTGCTGGCCCAGCTCTCATAGCAGAAGGTAGTGCTCTCAGCTGGGAGCCATCCTGCCTCATGGCTGACATGCTGCATCAACCACCCCACATAATCTTGGGGGATTGGGAGCAAACAATTATGCCTCTGTCCCTTGCTTTCCCTTGCTCTGTCCCTTGCCAGTTGAGCACAAGGGCTAAGTAGGGGCACTGCAGTGCACTGGCCAGCCACAATGCCATGCTGTCTGCAGGAGCAGGGGCACTGGGAGAGGAGCAAGTCCCCCTGCACTGGCAGCTACACCGTCATTTTTACCCCAGCCTGCCCCCAAACTGTCCAGTAGTCCCATATCCATCCGCCATCACAGCACACAGGGGGGTGCTGGCTGGACCAGTAACATCTGCCTGGCTTTGGTCTCTGCAGCATCTGAGTGCTGTGGGATGGGGGCATGTGCCAAGCATCTCTAAAGTCAAAGGTGCAGCTCAAGAGCATCCCAGCAGGCAGGGAAAGGCAAATCAGGCCCAAGCTGGCACTGGCCCTTGGGGTTTGTTACCCCTGCTGGCTCTCCTCATCCGTGCATACAGTGTACGAAGCTCTTCACAAGCAGCCCAGAAGAGGCACAGGTTCAGGGGCTACTGGTTTTTCCAGGATAAATTTTCTTCCTGGATGCGCTGGATGTCTCCCAGTGACTCAGGGCAGCTAGGAATGAGAGACATTCACAGCCATGGGGGCTTTTGTATACTGGCATTAATGTGTCCCCCTCCAGTCAGGACTTGGCTACTTAGGAAGAGTTAATGTTTTATTTATATACATACACATGTATGCACACACATATGCATATATGCACACATGTATACACAGTCGCTATCTCTAAAAGAAAAAGGTTAGTTTTTAATGCACTTTGGGCCCAGTTCAGACCTGGGTGGATTGAACTACTGCACTATGCCCCCTTGCACTGCTGGGGACCCTGCCAGGCAGAGAAGCTGCCAGGAGCCAGGAGGTGTTGGCTGCAGCTACTTAGCCTCCTCCAAGGTACAATCTCCCAAGCCAAGAAGTTTGGAAGTACTGGGCCCCACACAGCGCACCCTTCACAGTGCTTGTCTGTACCCCTGGCTATGACCTGCACAGCACATTGCATCCCCTCTGCTGTCAGGACCAGTGCAAACCTCCCTGCTCCTGAGCCAAGAGAAGCATGGTGCAAAGCTGTGACAACCTGCTGTGGCATAACCAGGACCTCTCTGGGATGCATCATGTTGCCAGCTCCCTCCTTGGACTGATCCTGCTGGCCAAGGGATGGCAAAGAAGGAGGCAGCAGGTCTGCGGTCCTTCAAGGGTTAAAGGAAGCAGCTATCAGGGCAGTTAGTAGCCCAAGCAAGATGCTGCTGGTTACTGCTGCCCTCCAGTGGGCAGAACTGGCCTCATCTCCTGCTGTGCCAGTTGGCAGCTGTTCACTCCTGTGACAGAGGTCGGTGCTTTTGGGCTGAAGGGATCTGAGAGACCCTGGAGTCCAGGGCAGTGACAGTACTGCAGAGTATGCATGTACCACTTCATCACTAGAAGTGGCAGCTCTTTACAAAACTGTCACCACCCTCCGGGCACAGATAAGCACAGAGAGGGAACAGAACTTGCCTGAAGAGCCCCTACCCAGTCAGGTTTCCCATGTGGGGCCTGGGGTTGCAAACTAGCTTGCAGAACAGAGGGTCTGGAGAAACTGAGCTGGATGAAGCAGTGAGTGTTGTGCAGGAGTTGCCAAAAGGGATCAGGCTGAGAGTCTGTCTATGTCGGCATCCAATCTCCCACCTTACAGCCAGGGAGGAGAACGCCCATGTTAGTAAGTACAGGATAAACTCACCCAAGGAAAGGTCCCTTCTGATCCCCAGCAGCTACAGGATGACTCATGCCTTGAAGCTCAGACTCAACAGCATCTTAAGTCATTATTCAACATGCTGTTAGCTCTGGTTGCTGTTCCTCCACATAACAGCCCAACCCCTGCTCCGTTCTTGACTTCAGGGACATCTTGCAGCAGCCGGTTCCACAGGTCAGTCTTCTCTGAACCTGTATGATTTCACTGCCCTGGTCCCACAGTGCCAAGCTTCTGGGACTTCTTGTCTGATCCAAAGCATTCAACAAAAAAGAGAATTAAGCTGGGGATTAATTAAAAAACAAAACTTTATTTGGTCCATCGGAACCTGAGTTTGAAAACCATCCATGGATAATTCATATCATACAGGGATTACGGATTTGATTTACAATTGATAAAATAGCCTATGTTTCATAAGGGCTGGACAGTATTTACAGGGTTAAAAATATTCACAGCTCAGAAGGAGAATGACAGAACCAGAGAGAAAAAAAGGACAAAAAATATCCAAGTGGGGAAGGGGAGAAGACAGGCTGACAAAGAAAAGTACAAACACAGCTTGGCTCGGCCGGTCCCTGTTTCCTAGGGACCAGCAGGGCCCGAGGGGCAACAGACAGATGTAGGAGGAGGACTCCTCACAGGGCACCCCCAGTCTGAGTCACCCCCATCCCAGTGAGCAGGAGGTGGGGGTGAACACAAGAGGACGGGGAGATGTGCCCTGTGCTTGCCACAGAACTGAGGCATATAGAGGGGAAACACAAAACTGAGGGTCCAAAGGAAGGGCAGAATAAAACCTTGGCACTGGCAGCCCCTGCCCATGCCCATAAGAACATCAGCCTGCCCCCAGCCTGGTCTCCAAAGTAGAGTGATGGAGCTGCCATCTCACGGGAGAGAGCGCTGGTTTGGGGGAGACCCATGGGGTGCAAGCAGCCTGGGACCCAACTGTGCAGGCCTCAGCCTCTTACACAGTCCTATAGGGAATCCCTTGATGCAAGCAAGCCAGGGCCCAGGGCACCTGGCTGCCTGCCTGGGGACTGAGAGCAGGGGCAGGAGCTCAGGACCTCTGCAGAAATCAGACTGAAGGAAGGAAAGAACAGAGAGCAAAACTGACCTGCCTCTCCTTACAAGGGCTTCCAGCCCTGCCCTGCCCAAGTGACCTCCTGCATTTCCCAGGAGCCCGAGTGGAGGTTACAGCAAAGCTTAAATAAGAACTGCAACCCCCCAAGATTTTAATGCCAAAGGACTTGTGTTATAGGGGAGAGGCATGGCCCCATTTAGCCATGCCCTGTGCACTGCACAGACACCCTCCCCACTCCTCCGTTCCATGTGAATGGTGAGGGGCTCCCATCCATCCCATCCCAGGCAGGAATAGGTCCACCCCGTCACTGACAGCATGTGCATAGGACCCAGCTGGACAAAGAGGTGGCAGCATGGGCCCCCTGGCTGGGTACATTTCACCAGCAGGCTGCACCCCCAGCAGCCCCTGAGGTCCATTCACTTCCATGGGAGCAGGATTTAGCCCACAGGAACTGCCTGTACTGCTGGCTTTTCTCCCACCCAGTGAACCTCGGCCTCTGCTCCCATTGGGCTCACAACGCTCCTGCCTCACAGAGCCCAGGTCCTGCCTGGGCAGATGTCTGGCCCTGCTGGCAGGTGCAAGGTTTACCTCAGGGGGAAGGGGGCCTGGGAGGGACTAGATCTGTCAGCAAAGCACTGGCAGATTGAGCTAGATCCCGCTGACTCCTCAAAGCGATTATACAAAACACATCTAGAACAGTGCACAGCAATGTGTTAAACTGGGGCTGAGTCCAGGCCCTGAGACCTGGGAAAACTGCAACCCCCAACCCTGTGTCTGAGCCCCACATGCTGGCTGGAAACCCTGTACCCGCTACCCTGTACCTGCATCCCTCTGCCCCACACCCACTGACCCAGGCTGGCATCAACAGCCCTGGAGAGCCCAAGCCCTGTACTGGGCCTTTGCAACTGGGCTCTCACACTGGCCCCATTCCCAGACTGCTTTTACCTGGCAGGTGAATGCAACTCAGCCACCAGGGAGCAGAGGCCCAGCAGTGCTTGGAAGGAACCCTTATCCCCCCCACCTGGGGCTGAGGCCAGATATGGAGGAGCCAGAGGAAGCAGGGCGTGTGAATGGGGGCAGTGGTTCTCCAGCTCAGGGCTCGTGGCTTCTCTCCTAGTGCTGTGCTTGGTGGCCACAGTTGCATAGTAATGAGTTGAAGTGCCCTTGCTGGCACTGGGCTGGAGGCGGGCCACCCCACACTCCAAGAGGCAGGAGCCCCTCATCTGCCCCATAGCCCACAGCACAACAGAGGAAAGGGCTGCTCGATGCGATTTTTGGTACAAGATGCTGTGAATCAGCTGCCTTCCCAGCAGTAACAAGCAGCCTCCAACTCCTGCCCACTACGAAGAAGTTGCCTCCAAGGATACAGATCGTGGCTAGGGGACAAGAGAACTACAAGTTCCACAAGCCTTTGAGGCAGAAGGCCCCAGCTGCAGGGCACAGCTGTTTGGGGAAAAAGGAGCTTCCCAGTATCTTCTATCACACTGGGTGTGTTCAATCCCAGCCTGAGCGCTTTGTCCCTGCCCTCAGCCACCAGCCTGCCAGCCCTAGACAGAAGGACTGATGCCCTCCTATTCCACAAGCCTGGCTGGGGAGGGCAATACCACACATACACAGCTGCAGCAACCTCCCCCCGCATCCATTCCACACCCTCCCACTTCCCCGTGACCCTGACACAGCTCCAGCCCACATTCCCCAGCCTCTTGGGATGTCCAACACTCCAGTCAGCTCTGCAGGACCAATTCAGCCTTGGTAACCCTACTTTAGAGTGGCACCCAGCTGATCTCTTGCACAGCAATACCAGCTGGGCACTGGGGTTCACACAGATGGACAAAAGTTGGTCAGAGGTATATTTTTCACAGCCTTAGGGTTCTGACACTAGGGAAGGGGGCTGAGTCCTGAGCATGCCATGGGGGAGGGGAGGGACCTGTCCTACCCACTCCCCTCTCCAAGTCTTGCCAAGGTGCCCAGACTTCTTCCTGGTGAGCGGCAGCGATCCTTCCCATGAGAAGGGGTGGAGAAGGGGATGAGAGGCCCTGGACTCCAGTGGGGAGGGCCCAGATCCTGAGATTGCCATGATTCAAGCCACGCTGTTGCTCCCGCACTCCTGACGGCTCCTTGTAAAGTGCGTGAGTTGGTGAGGAAGAAGGGGTGTGCAGAGACAGGGAGGAAGCCAGGGGGGTCCTGAGTCCTCCTTAGCCCCAGCCCACCCCATGGAAGTAGAGCAGGCATGAGGCAAGGCGCTTGGCATGAGGCTCGCGCTCCTGCCTCCACCCCTGCAGTGGCTCAGTAATGCCAGCTGGGGAAGAAGCCTGAAGCCAAAGGGGCCAGGAACTTGATTAAAGCAAAAAGGCAGAAGCAGAAGAAGGGTGGGGAAGGCTGGGCCATTTGTCATAGTGGCCGGGGTCCGTGCAGCCCAGCCACCTCAGGTGTGAGCAGTGGGTTGTGGGTCCCTTTTGTAGACATCCAGTCATTAAGAAAGGCTTGGGTGGCTTTGCGGTGCGCCAGGCGGTGGGTGATGGAGAACCCAGCGTTGCCTTCCAGCTGGGAGAGGATCACCAGCACTTGCCTGCGAGGAAAGAGGAGTTAGTGCCTGGTCTGGCAGGGGCACCCCAAACCTGATGCTGGGGGCAAGGGGACACAGTCATGTGGACTCCCTCACCAGGCTCTGCCTCTGTGGGGATTCCTTGGCCAGGGTGTTGGCAGGATGGGGTGGTTTCTCCAGCTGGGCTGGGCCCCGTGGGTTGGCCTCTGACCAGAACATTGGCACAGGACTCTGTTGCTTCATGGGAGTTTGTGGCCCATGGCCCCACCTCTGGCAGTCTCTGTGGTTTTCTCCACCCCACCCCTGCCCTACAGGCCCCCCATGCTCTCTCACCGGTGCAGAGGTGGCACACTGTCCTGGGTCTTCAGGCTGCCCCGCGTGGACACCACATTGAAGCTGTCTGTGCAGTCGCACTGGACATGCAGGTAGGACTTGGGGTGCCGGTTCTCCACCACCACAATGAGCCCTGCCCAGCCGTGCGTCAGGTAGTAGCAGGTCATCCCCTCACGGCCCTGCCAAGAGCAAACCTGCAGTCAGGTACACAGCTCCCCTCCCCCACTGCATGACCGGAGCACCACAGCTGGGCTGGCTCGCAGTGCCAGGCTCAGAACTGCAATGGGGAAGGCTGATACCTTTTTTTCTTTTTAAGCAATTTTTTTTTGTGTCCCAGGACAAATTAGCCAGATCAGGTCCAAATCTGTTTGAATGATTCAAGAATCATATGTAGCCCTGCTACTGGCAAGTATCCTCCACCCCAGCCCAGGGCTTCAGATACATCCAAATCCCTTGGAAGGCATCCTACGTGCAGGCCCAAGCCTAGAGACTTGGGGTTTGGATGCCCCTGAGTTTCACTTGCCCTCAGCCATATGGCTGTAGGAGCAAGCTATGGAGGAGGCTCTTGTAGGGAGTCCTGTCTGCAAGCAGACAAGGGTGAACCTTCCACTACACAAAGCCAATTGTGAGGCACCTACTTGGTCAGGTACTCTCCCCTGACACCTTCGTGGTCATAATGCCTGCTCCAGGGAACTCCTGGCACCCCGGTGGCACCCAAGGCATCAGCCCTGCACTCAGTGCACCAACTCAGGGCCTGACCCTCCTCAGAACACAGGGTTGGACAGATGGACACTTCTGGGGCCCAGCACTGTCCTGTGCACTCCATTTCCCATGCTTGCTGCTTCCCAAGACTAAGCCTGCTCACTTTCCCTCTCACTGCTGTCTGGGTGCCCTGCCCACATCTCCAGAAGCCTGAGCTGCCTCCACCCTAGGGGCATATGGCCTCCTGCCAACTGCCACCCCCTGGCTGGGGCACCCTGGGCATCCCACTGAGCTGTACCTGCAGAAGACAGAAAATCCACTGCACCATCCTGCTCATGACACCCCAGGCTGAGGCTGAAGCAGGGGGTGAGTTGTACTACAAAGAACCTTTCAAGGGTTTTGCCTGACATAGAAGGGTCTGGTTTTCCTCAAACAGAGGCAGGCCCCTTAGCTGAGGGATCAGGGACAGTAGGGGACACTGGAGTGGTGACTGGGTCAGCAAGACAGGGAGAAGAAGGGGCAAAGCCAGCAGTCTTCAGCTATGCAGGGGCTGCATTCAGTGACCCCAGAGGTCTCAGGTTTCTACAGCTCTGGTCTCACACAGGTGACACAGGCTGGTCCATCAGTGCCATCTAGTGGTGCCCTAGGGAGGTGCATGCCTGCCCTGCTGGTGATATGGCAGGGACAGAGGCACCCAGCCCAGACCAACGGTACCCCAGGACATGGCTTTCCTGCCCCACAGCAAAGTGCTTCTGTGGGGTGCCCTGGCTCAGCTGCAACCCTCTCCCACCCTGGGGCTCAGGTAGGCATTACCTACCTCATGCCGTTCGCCCTTGTTCTCTGTCAGCAGGATGATGGCATCGGCCAGCGTGGTGGGCTGTGCTTCAATCTGCTCCACCATCACCAGGCGGGAGCTGTAGATGGCCAGGATGTAGCTGGAGTAGTCGGTTGGGGGGCGCCCGCTGCTGCTGGTGGGGCTAGAGACTGGGGAGACACAGATGGATTCGGGGGGCGCACTTCCTGGGATCATCTCTGGGATTCCTGTTAACTGCTGCCACACTAACGCCGCCTCCAGATAGTGGGCCTGCTGCACAGGGCACCCTGCTCCCCTGGCACTGCACACCCCCTGCTCCAGCTCCTCAGAGGCCTGCAGACACCGATGAGTCACCTCTCTCAGCACCAGAAGCAAGGCCTTGCTAACACCACTGCACAAAGGCAGAAACTGAGGTACCATGGGATGACATAACTTGACCCAGGTCACATAGTGAAATCAGTAGCAGAACCAAGGATAGAGCCCAGGAATCCTGATGCCCAAATCGTGTCTGCAGTGGCAAACCGGGGGAATGGCAAGGATACCAGCCTAGCTGGCCAACACCTGTGGGATGGGGGACCTGGATGAGGAAGAGAGCTCTCTGCCCAGAGGGGAGCAGACTGGCAAAGCACAGTGGGCTTCCTACAGGCCTGGCCATCTCCCTCCAGCAAAATCGCAGAGCCACCTCCCCACCCCTCGCACTGGCCACAGACCCAGGGAGTGGGGAGCCTGAGATTCTCTGATCACTGCCTGGCTGAACCCATGTGCTGTAGCTTCCCAGGGCAACCCTCCAGGCCAACCTGCTGGACAGGAGACAGGTAATAAATTAAGTTGGATTCCCTGGTAGCCAGTTACACCCCCTAGCTACTCCCCTCCCCTCCTGAATGTGATGTCTGCTGGTCTCACTCTCCCAACCCCATGCTCCTCCACCCTGAGCCGGCCACTGCAACTGGCCACGTGCCTCACCCTGGGCGGAGGCTGTGTTCCAGTGGTTGAAGGCACAGCACACAACTGCATACTCGCCAGGCTCCAGCATGACATCACAGTTCACAAACTTCTTCACTGCCCGCTTGCTGTGCGCCATCAGCCGGCCCAGGCTCAGCTTGTTCCCACTGGTGAATGTGGCCCGGAACACCATGATGCACAGGTCTAGCAAATGGCTGTCCATCATGTCAGAGCGCCTGCAAGGTGGGAACAGCTCAGGTGTGATCCATGCCCCGGCCTCCTCTGCCCTTGGGCAGCAATCAGATGAGATTCAACAAGGACAGGTGCAAGGTCCAGCACTTGGGACAGTAATTGCATGCACAAAATAGAGACTGGAGAGTAAATGGGTAAACTGCAGTACTGCAGGGAAGGACCTCAGGGTTACAGTAGACCATAAAATAAATATGAGCCAACAGTATGCTCTTATTGCAAAAAAAGTTAACAGCATCCTGGGTTGTATTAATAGTAATGTCATTTGCAAATCAAGGGAAGTGATCTGTTCACTCTATTCAGCACTGGTGAGGCCTCAACCAGCTACTGTGTCCAGTTTTGGACCCCATACTTCAATAAGGATGTGGACAGTTTAGAAAGAATCCAGTGCAGCACAACAAAAATGATTAGGGGTTTCAGAGGCAAGACTTATGAAGAAAGGCTGAAAGAGCTAGGGTAATTTAGTCTGAAGAGAAGACTGAGGGGGGATTTGATAACTGTCTTCAAATACCAGAAGGGTGACTACAGAGAGAATGGAGATAGGCTTTTCTCTGTGGCTGTAGGGGACAGGACTAAGAGCAATGGCCTCAAGCTGCAGCAGGGGAGATTTAGGTTTGAGATTAAAATGAACTTTCTGACTATGAGGGTTGTCAAGCATTGGAACAGGCTACCTAGAGAAACTGTGGAATCTCCATCCTTGGAAGCTTTCAAAAGCAAATTACACAGACACTTGCCTCGGATGGTTTAGTCAGGGATGATCCTACCTTGAGCAAGGGGCTATGACAAATGATCTTGTGAGGTCCCTTCCAGCCCTACTTTCCTATGATCCTATAATTTCGTTGTGGCAGGGAAAGAATGGGGCTGCTCTTTGTAAACCATGGGCTTAACCCACCTGATGGCAAAGCCTGGATAAGCTCTGCAGAGGCATTTCAGGCCCTGTTGCCACGTGACATTGGAGGGGTTGTAGGCTCAGAGCAGAACTGCTTCTCCCATTGCTTCACAAGCCTGTACACCAAATAAGGCCAGCTGAGACTGGTCTCATACCTGGGCTGCTCCAGACACTTGGGAGAGGAATGGCAGCTGCCTGTAACCAGCCCCTCCTGCAAAAGAATCCCAAAAGTCTTTCTGCCCAAAGAAGCAGGTAAGACTGTAATTCTGTTTGCTGGTGGAGCAACTGAGGCATAGAGGGGGGCAGTGCCTTGCCAAAGGAGCCTGGGAATGAAGTGCAGGACTCCTGATTTCTGGCATGATGCCTTAGCCCGTGGCCCATTCTGCCCGCTGCAGGTGTCTGGCTGATTCATAGATTCATAGATGTTAGGGTCGGAAGGGACCTCAATAGATCATCGAGTCCGACCCCCTGCATAAGCAGAAAAGAGTGCTGGGTCTAGATGACCCCAGCTAGATACTCATCTAACCTCCTCTTGAAGACCCCCAGGGTAGGGGGGAGCACCACCTCCCTTGGGAGCCCGTTCCATACCTTGGCCACTCGAACTGTGAAGAAGTTCTTCCTAATGTCCAATCTAAATCTGCTCTCTGCTCGCTTGTGGCTAGATTGTAGGGCAGGCATAGCTGCCAGGCCCTGTTTCCTGGCTCACCTGCTGCCCTCCTGGAAAAGGGCAAACTCCAGTGTGGCACGCTCCAGCACTGTCAGCGAGGTCACTGTGACAGGCCCGCTGGCCTTGTTGGGGAAGGTGCCCTGCACTCGAACCTCATGCCAGTCTGAATGCAGCTTACAGATGTCCACTGAATCGAAATACCTGTGGGCAGGGGACGGACATTACTGTTGACCCAAGCAATGGCACCAGCAGCACCAGCAGTGCCAAACCCACCTGACAAAATCCCAACCCTGTCCCCACGCTGGCCATGCTGGATGCCATTCCCAAAGCAAAGCCCTCAGACAAGCTTTTTTGGGGACAATGGGGGGTGCCTGGAAGGGGAAGCTTGCACCCCTTGTTTCAGTAAAGCTTTGTTTCAGGCTTTGGCAGGAGGGTTGGTCAACGGCTAGATATCTCAGGCATGAATGGAAAGACCACTGGGCTCAGCCCGGGGCACCCCTAGAACTAAGCTAAGCACTTACAGGGCTCCAGAGAGCTGCTGTGGTGTGGAAAGCTCAATGTGCCTCCAGTGGCCTGGCCAGTAAGCACTCAATGATGGCAGAACCCACCTGTGACCAAAATGTGCCAGTACCTGTTGGTGTGGGAGAAACCCAAGGGC